CGGCGTTGTCGGTGCACCAAACACGAATGGTACGGTCCGCAGATCCGGAAGCTAATTTTAGCCCATCTGGGCTGAATGCGACACTCAACACCCAAGAACGATGACCATCGAGTGTTGAGAGGACAGCGCCAGTTTCTGCGTCCCATATGACAACTGTTCTATCAGCTGACCCGCTGGCGAGTCTCGTTCCATCGGGGGAGAAGCACACCGAGTGCACCCGGTCTCTGTGCGACACCAGCCGACCAAGTACCATCTGTTTGCTCTCAACGTCCCAGATGATGATGGTGTTATCATCTCCACAGCTCGCAATTCGCCTGTCGTCGGGTGATATGGCGACGGACAACACATAGTTCTTGTGTCCCTTGAATGACCCTCCTACCAATATTCCTTTCTCCACATCCCAAATTCGCAGGGTTTTATCAGCTGAACCAGTGACGACCCGTCGGCTGTCTTTGAAAAATGCGACTGCGTCCACTGGCTTCGTGTGTCCTCGCGTCATCTGCGTTGGTGCCGGTTGTGTTATGTGCGTCGGCGTTGCGCGCCCTCTCACAGTAAGATACACCTTTCTTGCCACTTCAAGTAGTCGGAGCTGTACTCCTGACATGTTGTATTGGCCCAGACGAAAAAATGGGCGGTCAATATTTGATGCTGACAAGAAGCGTACGTCGAGGATGTTGTAAATGTGGCGAGTAGTGTTGGATTTCTGCTTATAACCCACCTCATGTAGGGGCTTATGTATGATTCCTGGTGGCTCTGTATACCACGCTGCTACAGCATGTATGTGTTTGCTTCCTCAATCATCACTGCCCCCTTCATAGACGTCCTTCATTCTGTGCTGTTAGGCTACTAACCTGCTCGAAAGAACGCGGGTCTGGTACTATCATGTACCACAGTCGATGCTGTGACTACATAATTGTACTACTCAACTCGCCGTTCACTTTCCCTTCAATGCACCCACTTCGCTGCGAGATTATGAAGGCCTAGAACGTTCGCTAGGCGCTCCTCACACGACCGGTATCAGTAGGATCCCACATGCGGGACATGCACTCAGGCAGCGCCTAATGCATACTAACGACGTGTGCTGATTTACCTGCTTGACAACAATCGTACATCCTGTGCAAGCTGTCCATTATCTGCATCAACGTCATCTACGCTGATGCCAGAATGCATACTGACAGTTTCACCTCCTGCTTGTCTCAACGAGAGCCTTTATTCGACTCCCAGAACCATCATCAGCGAAGAACAAAGAGAAACTGACCACATGAATGCGCGCCACTACTTCCACGACTGGATGTCCACGGCCCGGAAGGAGCTGTTGGCAAATGCTCATCAACGTCTTGCGCAATTCAAATGTTTGTTTTCGCTGTCGAGCCTTGGCTTGGGCGTTTCTTCGGCAGGTCGAGGCGTTGAACCTGGAGGAATTCTTCTTTCATTGTATTTCTTCTTTGTGCGGGAGCGAAGCATTTGCGGGGCACTAACATGCAGCAACATACTCAGGAGATAGATACTTAGCGCTGAAGTACTGAAAAAGAGACTTATATCTAAAGAATCAGCTTCATCGTCAGTTTCCTCATCCTCGCCTTCCGATGGATCATCTTCACTGCCCTCAGGCTTCGGTTTAACGGGTCTCGTTGCAGGCATTTGTAGGCGTGCACAAGCATACTATTGACGCATCGCAGGAAAACAGCAGTCATGTGTAATGGACGTTTGATAGAGGCTTGGTGAGTGTCGGAGGATCGACTGCTTGCAAGTTGTAGCCGTCGTGATCGCCCGAGGGCTCGTTGTCATTGTGATTGCACAGGTGTTTCACAGTACAGAGCAATGTGAACGAATAGAAATACAGAACAATAGTGGGTCGGAATGTACCCGCATGTCACCGCGAGTGTGATGCCTGATATATTGTGATTGGTCGTGAACGATATCTTGGAGAGGAGACTTGCTAATATACGGGGCAGTGGTACTCGTTAGTTGGAAACAAGCCGTTAGTGTAACTGTGACACGCCGATAGTGCAGCATATTGAAGTTTTGTACGCCTATTGACCTGTCTTGCAGAACCAAATCCTCGGCGGGTTCAGAAATCAATAGGCAGCTTAGCTCAGGTCAGAATAAACTGAAAGTTCTACAAATATCGTGGCATTGAAGGGTTGTTGCATCTACAGTTTGCGCTGTCTAAACCCACCAAGAGTCTGGTGCTGAATGACAGCCAGCAAAGCATACAAAGTTTGAATATGCTGGAGGCAAAATATCAGCTATGATGGCGGAGACAGCAAAACCTACTTACTGGTATGTCTACCCCATCTACTTCACCATTCTGACCACCTCCCCCAAAATCACCTCAACCTCGATAGGTAGCCCACCCTGGGCGTCGATGAGCATGCTCGGGAGAGTAGTTTGGGCAGAGTCGCTGTGTATCTCCGCAGTCAAGGACTATAAAATTGACCTTCTTCAAGTGGAGGTCGAAACATCGCTGCAGGAGAAGACCCAGTGAGACTTGAGAAGGAGGAGAATGCGATATTCCACACTATCTTGGCTAATTTCTTGCATTGGATTTCTGTTGCGGTGGTCGCTTCCGAACCTCCTGCTTCGAGCATGGTCAAAAAGTAGCATATTCTTCAGGAGATTTGGTAGTTGGCAGGTGGTCTCCATGTCTATACATCCCCATGGTAAGATGATCCTGTGTCAGCACGAGATAATATATATCAGAAATCCGAAATCCGAAATCCGAAAGGTACTTACACATCTTTGCTCACTGTGAGATGGTTATGATCGATTATATTCTTCTCCGCCGAATTTGTTGTGATCCACACAAGAGCGCTGATTATCTTCGGTTCACTTCGAGGGCCTTGGCGATACGATACAAATCTCGCTCCACTCCGAATCCGTCTTGGAGCAAGATGTAAGAGGCTGAGGGTGCATTTCACTATATGGATAAGAAAGTGCTGGTTATAGGACACAAGGTGTCTTTATCACGTCTGGAATCACCTTGAACGTTGACAGGATCGCATAGGAATACGGCCTGTTAACAGCTTCTGCCACCGATGATGCCACTATAAACCAAAAATGTTAATGCACGGCGATTGAGATCACGGACAATACAGTAGTATGGCGTTACTTACGATGGTAGGGTTTCCAGCTATCTTGAGTTCCATACCTTTTGGTCCTGGTGTGCATACCCTTGGTTGGAGTCGGATCAACACTGTGACTACAGTCTCGGACTGCAGCCTGAGCCGCGGTCTGACTCTGAAGGAAGACAGTTGAATTTCGCACGGTCGAGGAAACGACCATGGCCAATCAATTGTACATGTACGTAACTACTACTTGAACCCATCGGCTAAAGTTTAGCTTTTCGTGCGTTCAACGTCGCGATTGCAACATTGAAGCACTAGCTCCAGAAGATCTAAGCACACCGAATTCACCCCGAATCGGTCCACGATAGAAGATAATCCGACTGTTCCATCTACATCTGACACCCAATTCCACTTGATATCGTACCTCAACCACTGCGTCGTCCTCTCCCCCTTCACCCGTTTTCGCGTCTACCCCACTCACGCAACCACCTACTACGCCCAAAACATCTCTATCCCTGGAGCCCTCCTCGTCTCCATCCCGGGCGTCTGAAAGAAAGATGGAAAAACGGATGTCGTTCATGAGGGCAGCTACACAGTGTAGCAGATGTCCTCCCCACTGAGGTGAATAACTCCACGGTTGTATTAGGATTCTGCCTCCCCTATTGCACTCTGCTCCCGTCTTACACCAGTCCAGCACGCCTTCGCCGAGCCCGAGATACAATCATCCTTCACAAAATGTTGTGCCACTACAAGAAACGCTATGGGAACCCATAGACTTTGATTGTGCTGACGACTCGAGATTGATGGAAATGGATACCTCACCGGCCGATTTTTGCAAGGGTCGAGTAACACTCGTGAGGGAAAGAGATTTGTTATCGAGATCGTGGATGTGCTTGTGAAGGTCGAGGTGAGAGGATTATCATCAGGTTGAGCCCATGGCGTCCCTTTCAAAGTGCGTTCTATCTCTTTTCACTCGTGTTCCTGCTCGTACTTTACTAATCCTCGCATAGACGTGGGATCTTCCAACCCACAATTCTCCTACCGCGTACGCCAGTTCCAAAAGCACTACCTTCATGTCACAGAGCCACATGTCGACGGCAACCTCGATGTGAACACACCACCTTATAGTACCAACGATTATGTGCATCAGATGTGATGTGAGAGGATATTAGTGCAAGCAGGTCCATAGACCACAATCGAGACGGTGTAAGAGAAGGGCAAGATGATGGAATTTGGGAGGTCGGATGTTCTGAATGTCGGAGTCCTTTGGGGTTTTCTATTCCTTTCCACTCTTTCAAGGTTGTGTGTTCGTTTGTCCTGGCAGCCGTTCATCTGCTAACCTCTTTCTCTTCCTGCATCTCGTAATCGACAAGTTGGTTCTGTCCTGGACGAACGTCTTCATATTTTATCTCCATTACTACCCAATTTTCACCAATAGCCTGACTTCCTCATCCGCCTTTGTATATTCAGTGATCTTGCTCGGGGGGACACATCGGTTTTCCAGCGGCAGCTGCACGAATAGAAGGGAGGTTGTGAAATGGGATTGAATACCACCAGAGGTGACCGTTTCGGCGCGTCAGCTCACGGACATTGATGCGTGGACAATGGCCTCAGCGGCTATAGAGAAATTCTCTCTGATGTGCGCTTCGCTACAAGTGAAACACACATCCTGTTCGCGCCATTCAAAGAGCCATGACTCGTATATTGATAGCCCACTTTATCTTCTTCTCTGCGTTCACCCCTTTTTTTGTGTCGCTCGTCGATTTTTATTCACCCAACCGCTCTGCGTTGATGTCCCCTTCAAACCCGCGGTCTGCGCACGTTCCGGATCGAGTCACACTCTGAAGGTTTGCATTCTTATTGATCTGGAATATCTCAAAGTCTCTTTTCTCCTCAGTTCAACTTCCTTGGGATCAATACCCGTCGTTCCCGCCCATCACCCTCCCGCTGTCCTGTCTACGGAGATTTTGTTGTAATAAGGAGGTTTGTTGCAGGACCTTGGATACCATGGACTCGACGCCCAGCCGCGGTGCTACGACGTCATGCCCCGTGCATAATCTACAAGATGCACCACCGACTGGTATATGTTCATGGTAGGTATGTGTTGATTTGCACTTGACGGCTCTATCTACACGTGCTTGCTTTGGCGGCTATGCTTGCCCCGTGAAATCGGACAGGTGTCATGGCTGCGAGAAATTACTGCTTTCCCTTGGGTGTCCGTGGGCTACAGGAAAAGGTACTTACTATTCCTGCGATTCACAAAGAGTAGACGTGTTGAACAAAAAAGCATTCTCGTTTCGCAGGCTGTCGAAGAACATTATGATATATTACGGTGCTAGCGGCTCAGCAAATGAAATCCGCCCCATGAGAGCATAAGCTTACACGCCAGCCTACCTAAATGATGAACTTATTTATGCTACCAGGAACACCATGTCACTTACATCTTTCACGACCCAGGCGGCTGTGCCCACAATCTTGCTCTATGCCATCATATGTATGATCCGAACTATCGTGGAGCACTTCTGCATCACGAAATAGATCGAAGCGCAGCCACCCACCCACCACAACTGATCGTAAGCTGGATTGGAATTTGCTAGAGTTTCGAAAGTCCTCTGGCGTAAAACTCGCACTGTTTTTGGCGCTCTGATGGCGTCACGACTCGACACGGCAGCGTGCATCAATAATAACTATGAAGCAGAGCAACGATCAGGGAGGAATTAAAATAAGTATTGCCTCCTACCATAAATTCCGCAAGCTGTAATCTCACATCATACGCGAGTAACACTCTATTTTTCATGGACGCGGAAAGGGGGAAAGATTATTTTAAACTCAAAGCGGGACCGAATTACAAGTGGAACAAACAAGGAGTTTAAAAAAGTGACGTATTTACCCAGGGGCGACATATCTATGGGTGGCATGTACAAAGCTGCCGCAAGTCAGGTCTGCAATATCCTGTCAAATGCAACTACAAGCAGGACGAGCGTAACAGCCATTGCAGAATAGGAAAAGAAAGCCCCCCAAGAAGAGCGATGAAGAACCCTGGTACATAACAACAGTCAGCGGTGCAGAAAACACATCGGTAGGTACACCTTGTCACCTACCGCAAAATAAATACGACAATGCAACGGTGGTGAGAAACATAACGGCGTGAATCGCGGAAGCATACGCACACGGCAATCGTACCCAGACAGCAAGAGAATGGGTGTGTACAACGTATGAAACATCACCCGATGTAAACGATTTTAAACCAGACTCCTGCTTACGACTGCAATAGAAGCATCAAGAGATTCACCATGAGTCACTTGCAATACGCACTTATTCGCATCGCTGATAACGGTTCAGGGATCGATCAAGCATCTCGTCGAGAGAAGGAGAGAGGCGCAAATATCCACATGAAATCTGGCGCTAGTAGCGTGGACGATATTGATGTGGCTAGAGAGGTACAGATCATATCGTGCGGACAAGTAAACCAGTACACACCCACGCATGCCCGTCAACATTTATGTAACACCCCATCCATGGACGCTGAGCAGTCGTTCTATATATGCTTCATCTATCCTGTGGCGAAGCAGGGTGCATTACGCAGGATGATGAAAGGTGAATTGAGTGGAAGAAATAGATGGTTGCAGAGTGGGCTGTGTTACATGATATAGTACCAGATGCATGCGGGTTCGCTGTGCGCAGAATGGAGGGCTACTGCTACATGACGGGCGTGTATAATGGGAGGCAGTGATGATGGAAGAAGCGAAATTCAAATCATAACCACGCCATACCGGAAGAACCCTGCATGAGCGCCTGCATGAGTTGGGTCAGTCAACACTACTCACCACCCACAAGATCCACAATGCGACAATATTTTAAACGTACGGTCCTCGTCGACTTCTCAAATACTACTGACCGTCGATCTCTCTGTCTAGGAAAACGCGAGATATCAGTGGTGCCTGATGCAGCAAGAGAAGTGCATCCCACCCTGACAGGACATCCGACGCCGGCGCAGACAATGAAAAGGCAACTGACGCCAATGATAATGCAAGGGCATGTGAAGGGCGTGGACGCAGTCGCGTTCTTCAAAGATAGACAACGGGCCGTCACTGGTTCAGATGATAAAACCCTGCAAATTTGGGACATGGGGACAGGCACATTGGTTGGAGTGCCATTCAAGGGACACACAGGCATTGTGTCGTCAGTGGCCGTATCACCAGACGACAGGCGAATTGCGAGCGGTGGAATGGATAAAACCATCATCATCTGGGATGTTGAAAGCAGGCAGAAAGTACTCGGTCCGCTTATGAGGCACACAGACCGGGTGTGGTCGGTGTGCTTCTCTCCCGATGGCAAGAGACTCGCAAGCGGGTCGAATGATTGCACGGTTGTTGTATGGAATGCAGAGACTGGCGCTGCCCTCGAAACACTCGAGGGTCATAGTTCTTTCGTGTTCAGTGTGGCATTCAGCCCACTGGATGGGCAAATATTAGCCTCCGGATCAGCGGACAATACCATCCGGGTTTGGCGCACCGGTAACGCCGAGCTTCTTTTCAAAATCGACGCTCACCGTAGTTGGGTTCAAAGTGTTGTGTGGTCGCCTGACAGCCAACAACTTATCTCTGCATCACACGACAAAACAGTCAAGTTCTGGAACTCGTCGAATGGAGACCCGATTGGTCAACCTTGCATTGGTCACACTGACTACATCTACTCGCTCGCCATCTCATCTGATGGCTCCTTCATTGCCACCGCCTCGGGTGACAAGACTGCGCGGTTGTGGAGCACAGAGACACACCAGCACATAAGTTATCCACTCAAACATACCGCGAGTCTTTGGTCTGTCGCGATTTCTCCCAATGGAGAACTGCTTGTCAATGGAAGTAGTGAAGGAAAGGTACTGCTTTGGTCTATCAAGCAGATACTTGAGCAACACAACGTGGAAGAAAGGACAAAAGACGATGAAAAAGCACAGCGACAGCAATGCCTTACTCTCAGTGACACGCAGGTGCGCTATCACCCAATTTTTTTTTTGATATGTCTATCCATTCATATTGTTCTTGGCGGCGTCAAACAGTCGCGCAGTTATGACTCCAACACTGGCAATAATAACAGTGAAAGTTACCGTTCTCAACAAGCATCTGGCAGTGACGACACTATCTCATTGTTTGACGTGAGCTTTTTCCTTCAATGCGTCTACTTATCACGCAACGTGGGCTTTCTTCATGCAGATCTTGGCTATAAACAAGACTGTCCGCGATGCACTCATCACAGGGGACCTGCACATTGCTGAAGACTTGCTGACCCAAGAGATCGATGCAGATGGCAACACCCACGACTCGTATGCCAATCGCTCGATTGTAAGGACGCGAAACTCCGAGTGGGACAAGGCCCTTAAAGACTCAGTCAAGGTCAGATGCTCTGTATATAATGACACGTTTGACGTTAAGTTTAGTTGGTGACATAGTCCATTGCCATCCAGCCCTCGTTATTGGGCTACATTTCCAAGGCCATCGCCCTCTGCGGCAGCGAGCAGTTCTGGGACGCGACGGAAGCTTTCGATCTCGCCTTCGTATTTTCAGATCGTGATCCGATCACCGTCGGCCTTTTATTATTGATCAAGGTATTCTCGTTGCTATCTTCAGAGTCTGTCTGTCGTTCTAATACTTCGATGTCATCTTGTCTAGGCTGTTGTACTTTTCAACGCCGGTCGCCATGATGAGGCAATGTGGCGAGTTCAAGACCTCACCACCTCTTGTCATCACTTAGATACACTTCCGTGCAGCGTTGTAAATGTGAGCGTCATG